CCTTAGAGAGACCAGAGAAGTTAGCTTCAAGGGATTGCCACACATCACAAGACGTGTTCTTGCCAACCATCATGATTAAGAGATTTTCACTGGGGGAAGACAACATCCAAGAGAGAAGGAGTTGATCTTGTCTGAGGCAGATGGCATATTCTGGGTTAAGGGTGGGCTGAGAGGAGGTTTCTGTAGAGAGAAAACGACTGGGAGGGGTACTGTCTGCTGCAATAAACTTCTCCAAACCATAACCCACAATAGCACTGTAGGTTTGTTGCCTCCATAGAAGATAGTTGGAATCTGTGAGTTTGATAGAGATTAGTTGGTGTTGAGGATGGATAAAAGAAGAGTTATTGTTGTTTGAAGGATGAGATGTGCTGTCTGAAGAGGTGTGAGAGGCCATGATACTCAATGAAAGGAGTAGATCTGGCAGGTAGGATTTAAACAAAAAACCAAATCTGAGGGAATAATGTTACTATGACACCAAGCTCGTGGCCCAATAGATGATCTCGGCTCGTGATACCATGTTAACATAAAAGAAGAAATGCAATAAATGAACAGAAGAAGGAAAAATCATGAAAGCATCAATCGGGATTCATATTTTCTTCATGATATGACATAACATCTTTCTTGTTCATCACTCCCTAGGGTTAGAAATATGGTAAGGGATATTTATATCTAACAACTCAATGATCCTACGGTTCCTATTCCTCCGACATTACCATCTTTTCATTGATGTCATTTATATGATCATGCTTTTGTCTCTTCTTTCCCAAAGCTATTCCTTGTTGACATGGCAGAGACTTCAGTTGACCAGTCTTGCATGCCTTACACATGCACTGTTTATTTTGCTTAGGTGGCTAAGATATCTTGTCCTCTTGTTCCATATGAATGGAATATCCACATGCAGGTTTGCCATATATGCTATCAGAGCTGGATAATTAAGCTTGACACACTTTTTCCTGTGGGCTATTAATTGGGTTCGTCTCATTGCATAGTCCGTTATCCATTTTTCATTTGTTTTTTGTTGATTTCGTCTCCAATAATTAATTTGACCTCATTTCCTCTACAAAGAAAAAACTCTTAAAGAGTTGACTGCAAACATGATCGACTGTATTTATTTGATCGACAAGTTCGATTAGCTATTTGAGTTTGACTTGTTTAAATATATAAGCGAGTCGAGATTGAGTTTTCACAAGTCGAATCGAAATATATTAAGAAGTAGTTCGATTCTACTCATGGCCAAAACCGATTTTGGGTCGAAGCCGCTGGTCGTGGCCCAAGGGTTGAAGGACCCTGAATCGGCCCGAACATATGTATGGGCCGATTTAAACAGCCAGTTCTTGGTCGCCCAGTTCATTAAAAAAATAAAAAATAATTAAAAAATAATAATTTTTTTAGAAAAAAAAAGGTCGAACCTCCGTTTCGGTTCGGAGCTGAAATCGTCAGTTCAAAATGTATAAACTATAAAGTATTGAACATGAACCGGACTGGTCAAAACTACGGGACAGTTCAAGATCCGTGGTCGGCGAGCCTGTTTGCCGGTTCGGCTGGCCCGGTCCATGACCATGTCTACTCAATTCCAATAATAGCTACAATAATATGCAGCCCCGATTTAAATTTTTTTCTGGCTACGCCCCTGCCAACACCCACAAAATAAAACTCTATAAAGGAGACACATACTCCATATAGAAGACTAAAAGTCAGATGCATTTCAACTAAAAAATCTAACGCAAAGAAAAACAAAACCAACGCACACCTAATAAACACATAAAATAGGACCTCCCTATACCTAGTAGGCTAAAGGCACGACTACCTAAACTGGAAGCAACCCACACACCAATAGGGAGGGTGTCTAACCAATTGAACTACAATCCCAGGGAACTAACGGATCACACACCAATATCGAACAACACCCTCCCTTACATCTTCGGCAGCCACACCACAAACAACCCACACACCAATATCGTCACCCCAAAAACTCGAAAAACTCGTTTCCTTTGGCGGGCCCCACCACCACTACCATGGGCCCAAGAAACCTACCTAAGAATATGGCTTCCCTCACAATCGATACGGTCGAGTTTCTCACACACGTCGGGAACAGCTCCAATACATACACAAGCAGCACGTTGAAAGCCATACCCTCCCAAAAAAACGAGAGAAACTCCATTCCCATCTTCTGCCTCTTGAGCCCCACGAACGCGCTCGTTTAGTTGCGAACCCCGCTTAGCAAACACAGCCCACCCATCAAGACCTTCTGCCTCAAACCTTCATGTTGGTTCTCTTTGTCTTACTGTCGATTTTTTACACAAGGTTGGTGTTTGTAATTGAACTCTGCCGACTAACAAACACCAGTTGACTAAGCTGGAAATAAAAGTCATATGCTGGGTTATGATTGATAAAAAAAATGATATTGGTCAGGTTGTGTATGAATGCATTCGGTCTTTTGTTTTCAACCCGGATCCTCATTGCACCTTGTCATTTCCTTGTCTAATCTAGGTTTTTATTAAGTTCATTGGAGTGTCCATGAATCCTCGCCTCAGTGATGTTATAGCCAATACACGACGTGCCCTTACTGTCAATGTTCGCAATGTCAATGAGTTCTCTACTCCAAAAGCTAAAGTTTGATCTCCCACATATGGATGTTTCGGCCAAATGAGAGGAGTTCGTTTCCCATCAGATCACTGCTTGGGCTAAGGTGACCAAATAAGTTGCAACACATCAGACCTACTTGCAAATGGTGTTGAAAGGTGTGTGTGGCTACCGTATATCGAACCTTGGGACTGGCCATGTGGCGTCCAGGTTGAAAATGGGAGAGAAGGCTGATGACGAAAATGGCGCTGAGAAAAGAGACTTTGAGTGATGGTTGCCGCTATTTATTGCTTTTGAGTGATTCTGGAGTGATGTAGTGAGGTTTTGATGTAAGAACCTCTTAAACAATTTGGTTGGCTGCTGCTTTGTTTCTATTGCTGCTGATGATTGGTTGTTAGGATATTTGTTTTGTGGGATGTTTGAACATTTGGTTTGGTTCTTGTTATGTTTTATTTCATGATGTTTTTGTAGGATATTGTAATTGTGTTCTTACACAATTCTACTATGTTTGGTTGATGTGTGTTATTAATTTGATGTTCTGTTACTTGTGCTTATGGTCTGATGTGCATTGATCCTTCGGTTGTTTTACTGGGGACTTAGTTGATGTTCTTACAATGGAGGATAGAATGTGATCTTATCCCTTGAGTTCAAACATTAGTACTTTTGCTTGTTGTCTTCGAAATTGTTTTGCAGGTCATCTTCAAGATATGAGATTTCGAACTGAATGCCAAAGGGAGAGAATATGAGATTTAACTATGGAAAAAGTTCGACAAATTATATCTTGATGATTTTCTTGTTAAAGCAAGCAAAACAAATTAAAAGAAAAAATTTTCTTGTATTTATTTAAGTTTTTTATTTATCACATATTTTATATATTTATTTAAGTATGATAAGTTATATATATTAGTATCTAGTAAGATATTGATTAGATTTGATAAATCTCTTGATACAATATTTGTTCTATTTGTTGTAGAAAGGATCGTGCTCCTAAGGAAGTAAAGAAATTGATTGTGATGAAGAAGATATCTGTTTTATTAGAAGACGATCGTGTTCAATATTTGAAGAATCAGTTGGGAACAAAATCAGCTCCACATAAAAAGAAGTCGATACATGACAATGTAATGGCTCCTTACCTTTGAGGAGTTTGTATATATGCATTCTCAATGTGTCAGATACGGATACTGCAATTATCGAGATTTACATTCAAGACATTCTATGAGGTCATGAGCTTTATAGTTTGCATTTATTTAGTTTACAGTGATTCAGTGTTGTATTCCTACATCACTAAAAAACTGTTTTTGTTCTTTATTTACAAATTCTTTGAGTGTTTAGGGATTAAGTACTTGTGTAGTTAGGAGAGATTATTCGATAACTATTTTGAAATCAATGTTGTGGAAAATAAAGCACTTGATAAAGTCGGGTATAGATGTTGTGAATATTAAGAGGGAGTCCTTGTCTTGTAAGTTCAAGCTATACATTGTGCGTGCAAACCGATCTATTAATTAAAGAGCTCCGAGGGATAGTGGGACGCCTCCCGAAGACGTTTTAGTTTATACGTTGCTTCCGCTTTTAATTTTGGTGTATAAACGCACATTGCGCATTCATACTGACTTAGCGAAAACGTACAAAATGAAAAACAAGAGATAAAACTCTCCATAAAATATTCTTATTTCATAAACTTGACCAATTAAAACACAATTGAATAGGAATCTTTAAATTGGACTTCTAAAAAGCCTTAATCTTGTCTAACAAGTAAATTATATTTAAATGAATTTCCTATCAAATAAAAAACTAGAATAATTAAATAATTGTACTAACAGATTTAGGACTAAAATATTAACAATAAATAAATGAAATAAATAACTAAATTAAAAATCCAAAGACCATCAGATACTCTACTCGTACTTCCCGACAACAACGTTTCACATTTGGATGTCCAATTTGGATTTCATAAAGAGTAAACTAGAAATGCATATTATCAGTAATGTGGGGGCACGCATGTTATCCAACAGAACATAAGAAACAAATTTCATTAATGATGGCATGGACCATTTCAAAATTGTTGGTTTCAATTCCAAATTCAGTTTTAATCCGACTTGTCATTTTTTATAAAATACATTATGCGGTTGAATGTGAATAAATTCTTTTATTACATATATTATATTATTATATAATATTCTTCTTAATTTTTACAACTAAGTATTGATCTAGAAAAAACAATTCTGAGAATTCAATTCATATTTTGTATAATTTTTTTCATTTGTCGAGCGGATCTAACACAATAAACTTTAAAATTTTGTGATGTGATGTGTGTCAAACATAACATCAAAACAACATTCAATGTGAAT